GAACATTTAAACATTTGGTTATACAATTATTTGAAAGTAAAAAACGTGAGACCATAGCCTGCCATTCAACCTTTAACTTTCTTCCACATACCTACTGTTCAGGGTCTGTCGTATTCTTCCCTTGCTGAAGACATCTCGGGATACCTTGCTACCAAAACAAAACACGTGCTTCACATTTGTATCCCTGCAATTTAATGGTTTCCCACAGTTATTTACTGTATGGAATTCTCAAGTACTTTTGCTCATCAACTATTCTAGGATATCTAACAACAACATCTCGGTGTCTCCCATGAAGTAAGAAAGTCTTACCTCAAAGCTGTGATCTCACTCGGCTAGATGTGCCCATTAATGTTGGTTGCTGTTACGTGCAGTAGCTGTCAAAACTTTTAGTCTAAAATATTTAAAGGGAAAAACTGCAAATCTGATTGCACTGAAAAAGAATAATTAATCTCTCCTACTTTCATTCTTAGCTCAGTTGGATTTTTCAATGTTTTAGATGCAAAACAGATCATTTAAAAAAATCAGAACATCTGAAGTTTAGCAAAATACTTAGCTTTTAAAAAAATCTTCATCACCTACAACGTGTCAAACATTTTCAAGATTCACTATAATAATTCTATTTCTGCTTTCAGCATCCTGATCCAGCTTTGTTCTTAACAATTCAACTTCTGAGCGCTCAACACATCAGCAAGTCCCAGGTACCTCACCTTGTTCACCCACAGAACACACAGATAGCAGCTGCATGTCCAATTACCATTTACAGGGCTTGCCCAGCATTACTAAAGAAACTCTTGCATGGAGTTGAGACACAAATTCCTCCTTTATGGGCCATTACTCACTTGGCCCAGTTATCATACTGTCCAACACAGAGGATAAATAAAACCAGCAATCTCATCCTGAGTTTCCTCCCCTCCACGTTGTCATGGTTGAGCACTGCCCTTTAGTAGGGCAGCTTTATCCAGGAAAAAGCGCCTAAAAATGCAAATGTCTTCAGGCATTGGGTGACGCCTGCATTAAAGTTTGTACTGCAAACTTGCAGGATTTTCCTAAATTTTGCCTACTTGACTTCCCAAATGTTTTAATACAGTTCTTGGCATAGAAATTGTAAAATTACATGTCGTAAGTGAGGCTCTTCCTCTGAGGTTTTAGCAACAAAGCAGCTTGCAAGGTGGGACCCGGGATATTTGCTGCCAGTATGAGAAAGCTGGAGTCTAGGAAGACTTAAACTGTTTGCTAGAGCCATGCAGTGAGATGACAAGACCTCCACATAGGAAGGGGGAAGAGATATGCATCATGCACTAGTGTCAAGGATGGACTGATGAAAGAATAAAGCTCTTTTCTACCTCATCTCTGTTGTGCAGTGGGAATGCAGAGGTACATGAACAAGGTTCAGGGAGCACGTTGCTGGATAGGGGGCAGGCAGTCACTGGAAGCAACCTTCAGGATGGGAGTTCCAACATCCCCTGCTTCAGTGCCACAAAAGGAACACTGGGGACCATGCTTTTGTGCACAGTATCACTGTTTCTGCCAATGACACACAGGAAGGAGAAATTGTACAGGAAGGAGAACTGGTACATCATGTCAAACCCAGAAGGAACATAATGGGATAGAGGAGTGCTCAGAAAGCAGAGCAGGGCATAATGTTTTCATGGTGGATTTTCAACAGATTGCAAGAATTGTATTACTGGAGAGTCTCTGCACTCCATGTGACCACAACCACCATAGGGAAAATGTAAGCTGAACAGCAGCAATATTGTCGTTTTGGGCATTCAAACACGGAGGTTTATTCAAATAAAACCGACTTCCTGGCTTGGACATTACCTTCTTACTATGTCTGTACAGTCCTGCACTGGCATACCTGCGACCTGAACTGCACAGACACCAACATGTTACAAGCTAAGGAGCCTCACTGAAGAGCACCGTGATTCCAGGACTTAAAAGAATTAGGTCAGGCACATCAACTTTGAGTCAGAGCTTTCTAGGAAAGAGAGAACATGTCTGCCTACCAAATATATTCTGCAGCATGATAAAGCAGATTAAACTTGAGAACAGGCTGTGTCCTTGGTTTGGAAGACAACATTCTTTAGTGGAAGACAGCTCGGTCTTATCTGAAAAAAAAAAAGAAAAAAAAAAGGGGGTAGCAAGTGGCTTACATTATTTGAAAACTGGAAAAAGAAAACTCTTCCAGTCTGTTTACTCTGTCTGGTTTCATTACTTGCATTTCACCCAACATCTTAAGGAAACAAGTTTCATACAATCACATTTCAGACATGCAAGCAAGAATGCACTTCTTCCCCCAAAGCTTTTGAAGTCATCTGCTGCCACATTTGACAAAAGAGTTAAGTTTATATGCTTATACAAGTATTACCAAAACCAGCAGCTGTTAGAAACAAAGAAAACCTTATTGCAGGCTCTTACTAAATAGTGTAGAGCAGAGAAGAAAAGAAACCACAACTTAGTAATGTTCAAATACGAAAAAATCTTCAGCCAGTGCTCACATCTTACAAGATACTCAGGCATCATTAGTTCTGATGCTTCCAGAACTATTTGTTTTAAAGGGGGAATACAAGCTACTTCATACATCAAACTATGGAAAAAGACAGAAGGAATTTAAAATTAAAGTATCTTCTTTCATCATCCTATAGTATTTACTGTGTACTCGAAAAGGTTGACATTTCAAATCTATACAGCACAATCCAGCTGACACAGATGAGGGAGAGTCTTACTGACTATACAGAGTGCACGTGCCCTGCCCTATATAGTTTCACACCAGAGAGAAATACTGCTGCACAAAGCTTGACCTCATCTGTAATGTGGATCACAGAAACATACCTGGATACATAGGGCGCAACCACCAGCTCGATAGTATCCCACAGAAAAAGCACCACATCCTAAGTAAATGTTTCCAGCTATGGAGAGCTATCACACCCTTTGAAACACAAATAATTAGCCTTTGGAGCATTTTGCCAATACACCACTTTTCAGTCTTTCTAATTACATCTTCCAAGTTGCTAGAGTGCTTCGACACTTTTATTCAAGGTGTTTAAGAGTACTCTCACACCTCAGCATAAACCCAGGTAGTAAAAATTGAGTAATTTGAAACACTGAAAAACTGCATGGGTGATAAAACCAATACCAGACGTATATTTGCAGTTCCTGTAAAAGTCTGCATATTTATTATAAAAGATATTTCTTGTTATGTACTTTATTTATTATGAATCAAACATGTTCAGTACACAAGTAAGGAAATGGTGCAGCGAATGTGCAACTCTTTGAGAGCAACAGAACTCTCAGCTCAGATCACGCATAAAAACAGGTTGTAATCAAACTGCTGCACAAAAACGGAAAAAAAAAAAAAACCAGAAGAAACTATGTCCCGCACTTGATGCTTCAGAGTTTGTTCCAAAATACAGTACCACTCACTTAAAGCAACAGATGCTTATTTGTAATAATATTAACAGAAATTTAAATCAAAGCCTTAACTGATATGCAACCTGATAGCCACATCAAGAATATTCTACTACTGTTGAAACTGTGATACAGGGTGCAGTTAAAATTTTCCAAAACCAGAAAGTTGTAGCCAGTCTGCTGAAGCCAGGCGTTACTTGCTTCAGTGGATGTTGAGTAAGCTGAACACTTTCAAACCTGAAGGGATGAGTTCTGTTAAAGGAATACAATGTTCAAAAACGTGCCCTGAGCATGAATGTAAGTCAAGGTTAAACCTGGTAGAGAACTTTGAAGCTGTTACCCTTTGTTCCAAAAGGATAAGCTAGACGCAATTTAAAGATATCTGTGCAGCAACACCACCAGTGAATAACCTGGTAGCAACAGAAATACTATCTTTAACGCAATTTTCTTAAACAAAATGTTAAATTTAACAGAGGATATATACATGTCAGAACTGCATGCCAATCTTAATAAATATCTTAAACACACTGCTGAAACGGTTACCAACTTTCACAGATTTTTTGAGACACTTTACAATTTGTACCTTTCCTTTCTTCTCAAAATCACATACTCTGCATAAGGGATCTTGTACTATTCCTACTGTTGCCAGCAATTTGGAGTTTTAAAGTGGATAGATTAAATTAGTTTGCCCTGGCAAATCCAGCTGAAGCAGCTTGCGAGCCTACCACCCCATTTCACTGGGAGAGGTTCCCACCACTGTGAGAGACCTCACACCAGGGAATGCTCCTGCGCCTCTACAGCTCCTGCTCCAGATCTGAAGCTGAAACTGCCAACAAAGGTAAGCTTTCAGCAAGGCACTGCAAATGGGAGCCGCGGCATCTGCGTGTGGGCATGCCTCTCTTCCTGCCAGATCTGGAGGCCGCAGGTCCCTGAACACGATCAGTATACTCAATCCAAGTCACAGCCCTTCCATGCAACTCAAACCAGCTCCACATCCCTGCCTCCTACTAATTTGTAAAGCAAGTTTATTTTCCACTAGTAAGTCTTTTAAAGGTATTTACCATATTTTACTTACTACATTTTCTATCTACAGATACATTAAAAAAAATGATGTGCACACATACACATGTATCATTCATACCTATGCACACACAAAATTATATATACTTGTGTATGTAAGAAGAGGCAGAGCGTATTTTCTTCATCATGGAAAAATCTTTAAAGAGGATCAAATATTAGGAGAACTTTTGTGTCTCAAAATAAGGCAAAAAATAGGTGTTCTCATTAGATATAAACAGAATTCCTTAACTGCATTTCCTCTTTTACATACAAGAGGTATACATTTAGATAAGCAATCCCTTCAGGAGGAGAGAAAGAAGTTGCTTTGACTATTCAAGGTATCCTTCTGAAAATCACTCCAGAAGACAGTCTCCCAAGCCATGCAGAAGAAACCTATGTGTCTGTAGAGATGAATTTTAAAGTAACAAAAATTAGTGCAGAACTAAAAATCTACTGGAATTTATTCCACTTTTAAGGAAAGAACTACAATTTCAAAATGTCTTCAACAGAAGAAACTGTCATAAATGTCCTCTTTAGATATAGATATTATTGTGAGTTTCATTGGTCGTCAGTAACTTCTTCAAAATCTTTGTGCTTTCAGTTACATCCTAGGAAAAGGAAGAGATAATCAGCATTAGCTACATTGCTGGTAACAAAACAAAACAAAAAAGCCTCACTGTCCACTGTTCCGATTTTTATTACTCTGAATACCAGTTTTATTAAATTGTTAACTGAGAGCAAAACTTAGGTCTTCTGAATGAAGGTACCTGGAGACCTGTTAAAGGCCCCAAAGGAATTTGCAGTTCAACCACAGAATGTGATTTGTTGATCTGCACTCCTCGCTTGCATACGAGGAAGAGCCTGCATATTTGCAGTTGTTTTCCTTCAGAGTTTAAACATTTACATACTAGTCTGTTAGACTTATTTAGCAGACCAGCATAAGCTGTAATGAAAACTAACTCGCAATTCCCACATTTATAGCTGAAATAAATACTTCATTACACACAAACCTCTTCTGTCATCTAAATGTAAGTTCAACTGGCAAAATTGAGGAGTGTTTTGAACCAACTTCAATTAAAAACACCTCAGGAGGAAGCAAAACATTCACTTCAGTCACTATAATGCCATGATTTCACAGCTGCTTGATTAGTGCAAAACTGTTAAGAATCATCTTTAGAAATTCAGTCTTTTAATTCAAGAAAGAAGTTAGAGGTCAAAATAAATTTCTTAAGAAGCTTTCACGTATGGTACAAGACAGGTAGGTACAGAGCTAGAACAGAGCCATCTTGCATACGAATGTAGAATGTAAAAAAAAAAAAATATATATATATACTTAAAGGTTTTAACACAAGACACCTCCAAAGGAAACTGCAGCTTAAACAACCACAGGGAATCACTCCCTGATATACTAGTACCACTACAAGAGCCTGAAAAGTCAAAAATGAAGTTTTGAGGGAAGCTGTAGATTCACTATTCCTAAGCAACTTGCAAACAGATGTTACAGCAGGTACTATACCAGAAACCCTGTCCTCTGTCATTAAAGTCTGTATTTTTCTGCCTTTGCAGGTGGAATCCTCATAGGGGCACATCAACAGCAGAACGCAAGAGACGAAAGACAGACAAAAATAGACCAAACCTCCCATTAATTTTTAAATATTAGATTTTACCTTGACTAAACTCTTCAGGATTTTAGAAGAAAGCAGAGGCTTGAACACTTCGATTGTAACCGTGTCCAGTTTGATGACATCAGTGTAACACTGATACAACACAGCAACTGCCATACTTGACAATAACTCAGAACTAAATACAAGTCAAAAGAAAATACATATTACATTCAGCAGAGAAAGAATCTCAGTTCTGTGTATAAGATCACGTTCTGGCCAGAACTTCAAAACCATGAATATTTATAAAATTAACTACTCAGGATCCTGACTGCTAGACCAGCCATCCCTCATTCCCCAGGTACATAAGAAAATAAACCACCAAAAATTACTAAAATTCAGTCGGTATTATATACCACTGTACATTAGTGGTAAAAAATAATAATATGACCTTCTATTAAAAAAAAAAAAAAAACAAAACACACACAAAAAAACCCAACAGAAAACTAAAGAACCACCAAACATAAAACTTCAACATACTAAATGCAAACATGATAAACTTTTTCTAGAAAAATCATCCACTTTTGGCTCCTGCCAGACAAGTTTTTCCTCATGATGCCACCACTAATTTGGTACTCCATCCCAAAAGGCCTGGGGTTTCTATTACATTACATAATAGAACTGAATCTAACTTTAACACGAAGTCAATCAGTAGCACCATGAAACCTACTTTATATGCAGAAATGACTTTACGAGCCTCAGTTTGTATGCTCAGATGAAAATAACTTAATAAAACATACTTAGTTCATAAGTAAAATGCCACGAAACCCCTCACTTTGTGAGGCTATACTGAAGAATTTGCTAGTACTTATGTCCCACACATAAGGGACAAACATATTTGTGGGTGGTTTTGAAGTTTGTCCCTATTTTACAAGGCAACATGTAAGATGTCAAACTGTTAGAAATTAATTTTCAAAAAGCTAACTTGTTAGCCAGTTCACACAATTAAGCTGAAATTCTAATTGCAATGGGATGTTCTTCCAAGGGAATTTTGTGTTGCCACCAGCAGCCTTGTAAATAATTGGAATTGCAAAATACCAGCAGCAGGAAGATCTCGCACAATGTTAGGTTGTTCCAGCAGCGGGCAGCAGACCTGCTCTTTGAATTCTTTTGTTTTCAAGGCTTTCAGAAATGGAGATGTAAGTGTTAATGTGGATTCCTGAGTTTTATAATCAGCTACAGGACATGTTGAAAGAATGGTTACTTGCAAGCCCTCCTTTTGCATACAGCCAAAGACCTGAAATAAAAACGTTAATATATAAGTAAAATTTATCTTCTCACGATAACGGCATAAATCCACAAAGATTCATTTCAATTTCAGTGCAGATGGCAAATGTCAGTTTAATTCAGGTTTGCAGAACTAACTCAAATTTGAATCACAACCTTCAGGTAAAATTTAACATGCATTGCTTTTGGGATGGAGATAAAAAACCCAGTAGACCAGCTAACCCATTTATCAAGTCTACTGGTTTTCTTGAAAGGCTTTAGGTTTTCAGCACTTTCTATTCACCTGCAAATATATTAAGACTTACTATTTTTACTAATGGTGACCGTAAAAAGAAAAAGGACTCCAAATAAAACCAGGCTGCTTATGACATGAAGGTGGCTTGCCAAGCTGCAAGGCACTTGGAACTGAAATCACGCTCGCCAGATGTTCTACAGTACTTAAAAAGAGTCTTCATTTTAAATACACAGATTTTATTTAATCCTATTCAAGATGAATTGAGAAAGAGAACCTTCATTTTTCTACAGTATTCCTCAAATTCAAAGAAGAGAGTTTCAAAAACATCTTACTAAACATACTTTTGAATCCATTGCATGCAGTCACAAAAGACCAACATGCTGCACAGTGTTCTTTTGTTTTTAAAGAACATATGTCCAAGTGAGCAGAAGCATGATAAAGCTGTGCCTTCCCTTTACACCATCCTCTTCAGATTTATGATCAATAAGGAAATGGGGAATTTGGTAAACATTACAGAAACCTGCTTGTTTTGGTATATGGTACCAGTCACAGAAGGGAAGCTGACTGTTCCCTCACATCAGTGTGTTACCACTGTAATACAAAACTGGTATAACTTTCCAGAAGACACATATTTTCAATTTAATTCATTGGAAACACTGGCTGGTATGCATTACTGCGAAACTTCAGTCTGTATGTTCTCATTTTGTCAGTGATCACTTACTGAGAAACACATACAGAAGTAAAAATCTGATTAATGGGGACGGTGAAGATGCTCACTGAATCAGAATTTATGAAGCATACAGGTCTGTAACTCACACTAAAGACTACCAGCACAACATTTCTTCTCTACATTTAAAAATACCAACAACCACGAAGTCTAAAAATACTCAAGAACACTGACTTTGTAAAACTGTAGACTCCTACTGTCGACAAACACCCACATTTGAAATAACACATACGCACAAACAGCTGGAAAAACACAAATGGGGAAGACAGCAAAACGAGAATCATCTTTTTTTTTGCAATCCCAGTTTAAACGAAGTGCAAGAATGCGTGGAATACAGCAAAACCAAAATGTTTTAGGTCTTAGGGTTTATAAACTTCGAAGTAAACCATTACCCCCCCACCAAAGAAAATTAAACTCTTCAACAAGCCAAGGAACAACAAAAGGCTGGTTTTCCACAAACTTGAGTCTGAAAACCCTGTATCATTCCATGAAGTTGCCCTGGTTTTCCAACCTGTTTGCATTCCTGTAATCTCTCTGGCTGCCTCACACTAAAATGCTTGTGCTGTTCTCCCTTGCAACCAAGTAATCCTTCTCAAGTGCTGGCTGGGCCAGCTGGCAGGACAGACTGAGCAGATATCACTCAGCTCAGGCCGAGGACTTGACACATCGCTTTTTACCCCACTCTTTGTAAAATCTCTAGCTACAGCCTTACACAACTTCAGAGTAACATAATAGCTTTAGAATCTCTGCTTGTTCATCAGATCAGCAGAGATTTAAAAGAAGGAAGATTAGCAGATAGACAGCAAGACAAAATAAGCCATACTTCCTTGAGGCTAAGGCAGTGACCCAAATCCATAAAGAAAATCAACAGCCAGAACATTCCCCCCCCTGGCTTTATCTCATTAAAATCAACATGACGTTATTTGGAACGACCCAGCAGCATTCGTGTACCTGAACAATGCTGGGGTAAGGCACTTTGCATACTAAGTCTATGAACAAATGGGACAGGTACTGTTTTGGAGGCACCTTCCTTTAAAGTTGCTCCTTGTGAAAGGAACAGAACACACCCATTAGTAAAAATACCATGAAACATGAGTTTCACAACAGGTTTGTCTGGTGATCCTTTAGCAGCCGTACAAATGCAGTTACGTTATTATTTTTTAAGGAAGGATTCTCCCAGAGCTGAAATGCAGTAGTTAAGGGCAACAAAACTGAAACTGTCCAAAAAGAGTCATTCCACAAAGTTAGTAAGTTACAGTAGATACAACCGGCATCATCTAGAAAGGAATTTAATGGAATCTGCAGATAGTAAATTTGTCCATTTGTTGAATTTTTAAGAAAAGAAAGCCACAGGAAAACCACTTACTGACAACGCTGCCGTATTCAGAATATCAGAGAGGAAGAGGCACTTACACTAAGCTGAAGATCCCCACCCCTAGATTTCATTGCTCAGTTTGTTGTCTTGCCACTTTTACCTTTTCAAGCCACTGGAACTGTTGATCTTCAGCAACATAGCAACTACACTGGCACAACAAAACCTTAAAAAAAAAAAAGTTGCATAAGTAAGTGGTTTAAAGAGCACAACAGCAGCTCATAATCACATACAAAGATGACATCATTGCAGCCAACAAGTTGTTCAGTTTTCTTGGGTTTCTTCAACTCTATTTCTACAAGAATTTTTCGTTCATAACTGATGTGAAGCAATCAGGCTGCCATACATCTTCTTTGTACTGAACTTCACATAGTTTTTGTGAACATAACAACCCTTCAGATTTTTGATGAGATAAATCCAGAATACTGCAGCCTTAATGCTTCGTTTGCCCTGGACAGGGTAGGGCATGAGGGTTGCTCTCTTTTTCAGAAAACTATAATATAGCGGAATTAATGCATAAGTCACCTACTGTTGGATCTGATATTAATCGGTAGAACAAACAGAAAGAATCTGTTGGGAGGACATTTGTTGTGTTGGATGTTCGACACCACTCGTTCCACAGCTTCACAACTCCAACTACTTCCCAACATACAGAATCCAGAATAAAAGAAGACAGGAAAGCTGCAAAAAACAATAAATACTCTTAATTTCTAAAGAATAAAATCTCTGTTCTACAAACAAATACCCAAACTGAATTAGATTCTTTCTTTGCAATCTCAAGTAAAAAAAAATGTAGTAACTTATTTTTATCAACATACAGTTGTTCACCAAATCTAGCAAAGATCAACAATGTGAGTAACCTCACCATATCAAGACTTAAAAGAGCAGTTCTACATAGAGAGATCCCTAACATCAAAACCATGTACTCTTAAGAATTATATCACTATGGTCAACTTTGAGTCCTTTAGTATACACTAAGGATGTAAATATTAAGTCTCTAATACTTCTTGACATGCCAGATATAACAGATTTCTAGAAAAAGAAATCACTGAAACAGCAAGGGACAATTATTACATAGGGTCTAAAAAGCAGAGATAAGGTATGCATGACCTAGTGACAGAAAGAGTTCCCTAAATCAAATGTTCACAAATAAAATTCCTGTCAAAAGTTACAGAACACAAATCTAAAATATCTAACCATTTTTCAAGGAAAAACAAGTCAGCAAAGTTAACTTAGATGTCATCTAGATGTGACCTAAATGCAAGGTGGACTTAAAACTTTATATCCACAGGGAAACAGCTCTTAAAAAACTCAAGACCTTGTAAGTGCATGTGGGAAGACAGTAGGGTGTTTCAAGACTCTAGGCCTAATGAAGGGCATTTTGAACAAGCAAGGAATTAGAATGTGAAAAAGGGACTGACTGATCAAGGAAAAAAGTAAAAAAAAACCAACAAAAAACAAAAAAACACTGTTCAGTAGAAATTAAATCACAACTTATTGACCCATAATTTTATATGTCTTTGACAGATCTTTATTTTAAAAGACTAAACTGTACTGAGGAACTTGCTACTAAGAGAAATAAACTTTCGCCAACTAACAAACAATCCAGCAGAGTCTACTGAACAAAAGTCAGATAAAGGAAAAGGGGAGTTATCCCAACTAAAATCCAAAACCAAAACATGCTTTGTTTCAGGCCTTCAACTGAAAATATATCATTTTACCACAATCTGAAAGAGGAATAAGCAGCTGCAACAAAAACTGTGGTTTACATGTACAGACTGCTTTTCTCTGGACAGCTTTGCCTCAGGGTTAAAACCCTGCTCCCTAAATGAAGAGCTGGACAGCCTTAAGGGCCATTCTCACAGCAGAGACCCATATTAAAACAGACTATGACAAAGGAAGCATCCTGGCACACTTGAACTTTCTTCCAACCTCCTACCTTCTCAATTTTAGTCAACAGCAAAAGAATAGCAGCATTTTAGGACTCTCAGACGGTTTGTTTTTGCAGTGCGCACCACCTACCTGCAGCGTTACGTCCTATAGCTACTATAAACTTGGAGCAGGCAAACGGCTCCCCGGCAGAGCTTCCCGCAGACGCGCCCGACTTCAAGGTCCAGAGGACGTCGACCTCCCTGGCAAAAGAGGCGGAGGGAAGTGAAGGGGCGCTCC